GGCTGTTTAGAGGAATCAGCCGCCCAGACCCCTTTTCTTTTTTCATCTTTGTTGGACGACTGTTTCTGTCGTCCTTCTCTATTGTCGAACCTCTTCCCGTCCGACTGTTTCATTGTACACAGATCAGTCGCCTGTATATAGGCTTCTGCTTCAATCAAGGCCTCTTGAAGAGTCGCCACCCTTTTTCGAACTAAATCAAATTTGAAGGTAGACCCGTCTTTGAGACCTCTAAAAAAGTCAGTATAAGCTACCTCATCCGGTAACCCTTGAATCTGTATTCTCATCAGGTTGAACCGCCTGATGTAGGAACGAAGCCCCTCCTTTTCACCCTGCTGAATTGTTCCCAAATCAAGGGTCGTTTTCTTCGCAGGGATGTTCATTGCAAAGTTGGAGGCAAATAAGTAAGCAAGCGTCCTGAAACTGTTTACACAACCAGTCGGCAGGTTGCCGAACCATTGCTGTGCAATTCCCTTGAGAGTTGCTGGGAAACACTTGCACCAAGTGGGGTCATCCAACCCTTGAAGGTACATCAGGTTGGTGAATGCCATCAGATGGTCTTCCGGGTTAGTAGTGCCATCATAGGCGCCTACTAAAACATTTTTTACTTTGGCCGGCTGAGCGGCTTCAGTAATTTCCTTGGAGAAGGCCGACGGCTGTTCACCAAGTCTAAGCAGCCGTAGCTGCCAGTCCATAGGTTGGACGTTTTTTGCTGCAGGTCCACCAAATGGAGGTGGCTGCATAAAATATTGTTGTTGCGGCACAAATGGCAAATTTGGTACCGCCTGCGCACTATGAAAGCCAGACTGACGGGAGGTGCTGCCTGACTGATTCTCATGGTACGACTGAGTTGGCCTCATCGAGGCATTTCGCAAACTGTCCTGAAAATTTGAAGTAGAAGCCGACTCTGATAATCGGTCACTCTTCTTCTGCTCTAGCAGGTGCCGAGCATCTGTGAACGTTTGCTTTGACCCGTCCGCCTGAATATGACGAACCGGTTTCCTATTTCCCGTAGGATAACGGAGTTTTGTGAAATCAAGAGCAGACGGCTCCCGCTTCTTAGATTTAGGATGGGGAGTCGCCTCTCGCCCTTGAACTGGCTTCCTCTTCAGTGAAGTGGAAGGTTTTTTGGCCGCCTGCTCTTTGACTGAAGCAGGCGGTTTTTTGTTGATCAACTCTTGGATCTCTCCCTTGAATCCCCTCATGAAGGTCATGAGTTCGTTCCTTGTGATGGGAGCAGACCCATCAGTCGGCTGTTGCCGAGCAAGCGGTGCGCCTGCTGGCTCGCTTCCTGTTTGAAGATACTCCCGTTCCCTTATTTCAGTATGACGGGTACGGCGGGCCCTTAGGGTCCCGTCTGGAGCTGTATGAGTTTCAACTTCAAATTCACTTTCGGTATCATGGTCCGACTGAACTTGAGGGTCGTCTAGGGGACGCCTCTCTTCTGGGGTCGGTACAGACTTGGATGCCATCTCTGAAGTACTCTCCCCACAGACGGCGCCAAATGTTTTGGGGTTTTCTGATGTCCTGCGGGAGAGCTACAATTCCGAGACTGGAACCGGACGCCTGTACCTGCAAAATAACGGAGACTCCTGAGAGCTCCGCCTCCAACGGTCAAGTTAGTACCTGATTAAGGAGTAATTAATACAGAAATTAAAGTAAATAAGGTCTCTCTAGGTGAGAGTATTTAATGTAGGTAATCTGCTTTGCTAGCGAGATCAGCCGGTTATTAGTGTGTTCCGTAATGTTTCTCCTCTGTTCCGTTAATTATTCGGTCCCTTGATTAATGAGGATTAATCGAGTATTTATAGCCTTGGGAAGCGTGCAACTCTCTAGGTTTAAGGTAAACCTAGGGCCGATCGGGCTTCTAGACTGAAATGGGCCTTGATGGCCGGTTGTCCCATTTGGCATGAGTGGACACGTGGCGTGTCTTAAGTGGTCCGTGGAGGACGCGTGGCGGAACCTGGTTGGTCCACTTGTCAAACGGCGCTTGGTGGATAAAAATCCCCTAATCAACGCTGTCTCGTGATCTGGCGAAGCTTATAATTTATTTTGTACCTATGAAATATTGGTATTTTTTCGGAATTAAAACTCTAAACCAACAATTTTATCCTATAAATATATCCAAATTTTATTGAAAATAAAATTCTACTGCCTGTCTTGTGTGTGGCTGGCCACAGCGTGTGGCCACTTATTAAATAACAAAGTAACCTCTATAATGCTGACAAGTAACCCCTGTAATACTGACTGGGTAACCCCTATAACACTGACTGAGTAACCCTTTTACCACTAACAGAGTAACCCCTATTACACTAACGAAGTAACCCTATAATGGTTGGTCACACCGTGTGGCCAACCACATATAAGAATTTGTGAAAATTCTAAACAAACTTTTTTATCCTACAAAATCTATCCAAGTTTGTATCCTAATAAAAAAAATACAACTTTTTTATTCATAAAAAATATATCCAAATAAATCCAACATGTCATACTAATATTTAATTGTTACCTATGTGGCGCGGCACTTGGCGAAAAGTTAAAACACCAAGTGTCGTTGTCTCGTGGTTAGGCTAAAAGTTTAGCTTTATATATTAATTACTAGTTTTGAGCCAAGGCGATGCCCAGATTGTTGATAAAATTTCAGTATAAACTTTTCTGCTTGAATGTTAACTACGGTCCTACAATCCCTTTTGATAATGTAGGAAATTTAGACATACGATGTCCTATCGCTTATTTAATTAAATAATAGTGTACCTTTTGTAGTTTTGTTTGTGAATATCTATGTTATTTATTGACTTGAAATTATTTTTATTGAACTTAAATTATTTTTTAACTAATTCTCTATTTTTTTAAATAAATTAATTATATTATAAATGGATTTTATTTTGAAGAACTTTTTAAAGCGAATTTTATGATGGAAATAAAACCGAGTTATAGGATATTTATTAAAAGTTACGATTAATTATATATATATGAAGTATTCGAATTATATCGATAATAAAACTCTATACAATATTTTTATCTTGAAAAATTCTATCCGAAATTCGCTTACTTATCCTCATATGTGTCACAATCATATTTATTTGTCGCCTACGTGCGTGGCTCAACACTTGGCGAAAAACTGAAATGCCAAGTGTCGCTGTCTCGGCGATGCCCAGTTTGTTGATTAAATTTTAGGATAAACTTTTGGCTTGAATGTTATATATGGACATATAATCTCGTTTGATAATGCAAGATATTTAGACATACGATATCATATAATAGTGTACTTTTTGTAGTTTTGTTTGTAAATAGATATCTATGTTATTATTGACTTGATATTATTGTTATTGAACTTAAATAATTTTTATTGAACAGAAAGTCTTTTTACCAAACCAAAATTATTTTTACTGATTAAAACTTATTTTTATTGATTCTCTATTATTTTTTAACCAAATTAAATATATAATAAATGGATCTTATCTTAAAGAACTTTTTGAAACGAATTTTATGATGGAAATAAAACCGAGTTATACGATATTTGTTAAAACTTATGATTAATTTTGTATATATGAAATATTAGAAGTACAGTGATAATAAAACTCTATACAACAATTTCATCTTAAAAAAATCTATCCAAGAATCGCTTACTTAGCATCATATGTGTCACAATAATACATATTTGTTGCCTATGTGGCGTGACATTTGGCGAAAAACTGGAATGTCAAGTGTCGCTATCTCGTGGCCTGGCTGCGAGGCTGGCTTTATTTATTTATTAGTGATATGATATGATATGATATTTAATTAATTATTTAAAATTTAAAAAAAAAAAATTGAATACCCACCACCCTCCCCACCCCCAGCCAACCGGCCCTTATCCCTGTTGGCGCCGCCCCACGACCTAGCCCAGCGCCGGTGCCGCCGCACCACCCAGGGTGGTGCCGATGCCGCCCCCTTCCCCTGAACCACCCTGAATTTCCCCTCCCTCCCCTTTGCTGCCGCTTCTTCCACCGACAATAACATCTCACACAACCCCATTGCAAATCACTGTCTCACAAACCCACAACACCAGACCCAAGACCACCACTTGACTGCAGCCACCTCCACCACAATCACCCAACACACCACAAAAACCAGCCCTTCAAAAACCCTTTCGCCCGCAAAAACCAGCTCGCAAAAACACAACTTCAATGCTCGTCGCTAGCATCTTCTCACCACCATCGCTGCCCAGTTCCATAATTTCCGGTGTCTATCAACCTCCAATTTGAACAACTATAGCAATTCGAAGTGGTTGGGGTTTCAATGGTTTTCAGACACAAGGGAAAGGGAATTTGAGGTGGGGAAATGGTGGTTTAGGAAGAAAAAGGGCACAACATCAGCACGTGGCTTGAGGACGGGCGGCGCTGACGACGGATTAGGGGCAGGTTAGGGGCGCGCGGGGAGGGTAGCTGGGCTTGGGGAATTGTCGGTTTTTTTAAAAAAAAAAATTTAAATTTTTTTTAATTAATTAATTAAATAATTAAAAATTTTAAATAAGAAAAGGGTACCACATGAGACATGACACATTTACCCTGAATGATTAACAGAGTTAACGGAAAATGGCGTGTTGTGACATTTTTGTAAAACTAAGTGGTATATGGTGAATTTGAATTTTTTTGATAGAATATGGTGAATAGAGATAAAACTCAGGAGTATATGGTGAAAAAACCGTTATTACAATTATGATACGGATTCTCCATCTCTGCAGAATTCTCTCTTAGGCTTTGTTTGGTTGGATGAAAAACATTCACTTAAAAATGACTTTCCAATCATCAAAGAGGAAAATGTAAGTTATGTAACTACGACTTTTAATCCTTTCTTTGGTACTTTGATGGAAGATAAACAAAAACGAAGATTTTCTGCCCGGGGGAGCGATGGGAGGGAAGGGAAAGGAAGGGAAGAGATGAAGTGAAAGGTAAAGAAGCAATTCCGTGTTTTATATTATTCGAAAAACAGTAAAACCACTTAGCTTAGCAAAGTTGAAATTTGATTGCAATTAACCTTTTGATAAAACATCTGTAAACAAATGCTTGAAATCCAAGCTGCAGGCATAAAATCGAAATTTAAATATACATCCAACTGGGTGAGCTAAATTGAAAGAAAGCGACCAAACAACATTATTCAAATATAAATCACCAAATTGAATGAATACAATAAGTTTGGACAATATCACTCTCTTTGTTAAATTGACAGCAAAATTTCAGGCTTAATTTACCTTATGTGTTACTATAAAGCTACATCATATTCATTGAAACATCTATCTAGTAGCTGTTTCCCCATAGTTAAACTGATACCGTAAATAGGTAGATCTTAAGAGCAATTGCCAAAGCTACTTGCAACAAAAATATTGCAACAACGATGAGGAACCACCTTTCACCAGCTGACTCGATGTGTACCTTGAGATTAAGGGCAACAAAGCTTGCAGACATAAACCCGGCCACACCTGCAATCACCCATCTGAATATATCCAGGGGTACAACAGACAAACACTGCATCCAAAGGACACCATCAGTAATAAGATTAATTAAACAAATGAGTTCATAAACTAAGAAAAATTCAGGGCAAAGGGACCACTATTGTATAATAGATTTTTCTGATCCCATAAGCACAGGACAAATACAAAAATGGACCAGTCAATTCAATTAGATTCTGATTTGCAGTAAATATATAAACAATATAAATATAACCACTGATTATAGAGAAGAAAGTTGCTAACTAGATGTTCCACACTTCCATTATCATGAAAAAGCCGGTATTTATCAAGACAATTTGTTCAGAGTGAATTCAGTATCAAAATATATACACTGAGTTTTTACTCAAGGTAAATCAGAAGAGAGCTTACCAATGCAGGGACGAACACAAACAAGGAATAACCATACAAGCAGAGCAATTGGATGAAGCCAGATGGAGCAGAGAAATACTTCAGCACCAAATAAAGGCACAGAGGCACGACCATCACATAACCATAGAACAAACCGGCAGACCATGTCACAAGGCTTATGTCATAATTCCAATCTTTGCTTTGTAGCTTGTTTGACACATAAGTAACAAATGTACCAATTGATGCGGCGATGAATATTAGGGTAGTGCATATCCAAAATGGACCATACCTGCCCAACATACAGCAAATAGAAATTGTCACCAGCTGCGAGAGAGGAACTGAAATAATTCATGTGCCATATTCTCAAAAATAAAATACTAACAATGTTCAGCAATCAACATGGAGATGAGGCTACGAAATATAAGTCAATAATTCACACTATAAATTTCCACTTCATTTAGGCGTGCATAGGAAAATCAAAACGTACGAACTAAACTTCATAGACAGCCTGCATTTAGCAATGACAATCTCTCCCTCCCTCCCTCCCTCCCTCCCTCTCCCCTTCTCTCCATACCTCTATTCACATTCTAAATCTTCCACTTGATTTAACACATGCATAGGAAAATCAAAGTATGAGCTAGGCTTATAAAGTAGAAACAGCCTGTAATTACCAATGTGACAACTAAATCCTGGCAATAGTAGTAACAACATGCAAATACTTCCAAAAGCAATTCCTCAGCTCACTCCAAATTCCATACTCAGGCATCTTAACGAGAACTAGCACACCCAATCACCATGTAAGAAGCTTCTAATTTTGCCACAGCACTGAAAGTGCAAGTAAAACAGTGCCAGGCATGAAAATTAAACATTATTTTCCCTTCCACGCAAGTCTTCCAAAACAAAATTTTATGCTCCTAAGTCCTACCAATTCCACAGCCCATTCACACCACTAGATTAATTTTGTTAAATTTTACTGGAGACTGGGATTTTTTTTTAAAGGGTATTACAAAGCTCCAAGTTTTCAAGAAAGAAAAACATTTTTTATCAACTCATTCAAGTGATACTAAAGTTAAATATTATTCAACCACCCTGAGTCATTGACATTATCAGATAACAGTAATAATCAAACTTACAAATCTGGGCTGTTGGAGATCAGTTCTGTGAAATTCCCTTTCCATGGAAAAAGTGATTCTTTAATCCTCTCCAAGACATCAGAAGTATCAACATCAAAATATGGTTGATAAGCAGCAATACTGAATATCCCAAACCAACCACTTGATTGAGGCGCATCAGATCCACCACCTGGTTTGGAGAATGTGTCTGATCAGAAAGATACAGAATTTGTAAGTGCCAGGAACTATTACAAAAAGGTTATATCATCTTGTAAATTATTTAGATTAAAAAGAAGCTGCATAAAACCTAACGCTCAATTGCTCAAAAGGGATGCAATTTCCACAAGGAAAGAAAAGGCAATGCAGATTGCAGGAGAAGAGATTAAGAAGTTTAATGTAGAAAAAAAAAAAAAAAAAAAAAAAATCAGACCTATGAATAAAAATCAAAGGCTAATGTAGCAAATTTGAGATTGAAAAATAGGAGCAAAAAGTTAAAGCTCTTGCTCGCCTTGTTTCCATATATAGGCCTGATAACCAGGAAGATGGATGGGACAAGATAGCATGCTGAAAACTCAGTACTGCAATTTTAGAAAAAGATGGAAAATATGTACTCGTATGTGATTTAGAGTCAACTAGTCAAAGTGGCAAGTGACCGTTGTTTTCTTTCAGTTTCCTTATTTGATTTTTAACCTGTTTCAAATATTCTCCCTCTCTTCATTTCCCACCATTTTTACCTTCACTCTCTATGAATGTAAATAACAGAAACTCCTATTATTTGAAAATTCATAGTAAAGCATTTTTCATATATTTCTAATATTTAGTGCCCAAATTTAGGGAGAGTTCCTATCCAAAAAATTAAAGGTCATGGTGAGTTAGACCTTGACACTTATATCTGGTCCGGATAGTAAATCTAGTAATGTAGTATAGGTTCACTTTGGATATTAACTAATTTTGCCTAAATCTACAATGCTACTTGGCACTTATTTCTGGTCCGGATAGTAAATCTAGCAATATAGTAGTTTACTTAGGACATTAATTAATTTCTGCCTAAATTTACAATGCTAATACACTATTCCTACATTCAACTTTTAAGAACTTGAATAAGATTATTATCATGAGGTTTAGTTTTTTAAGGATATGAGCACCAAATATACTAGTAAACGTGAATAAAGTTAGGAGTTTTGACAATAACTCATAATGTTTAGTGCTATTAATTGTTTAGATATTACTACTCTTAGCTTTAGCCCATGACTTAAATTTTAACTATCATTACATACAAAAGTTTATTGATGATATGGCGATCAAGAAGTTGGTCTTAAAATATTTATATTCAGGGAAATAAAAATATTCTTTTAACTGTTTTAAATACTAATGAAATAAATAGGCAAATAATTTTATAAGCCCTTTTGAAAAATTATCCATCTTGCACACATCCTTTCCCACCAAGGACCCTTAGTGTCAAGTTGCTTCTCATACTTCGTGAAAATGTGTTCTACCTTGAAAGAAGGGAAAAGAGGGGAATGAAGCAGTTAAGTCATTCCACAATCATATTGCAGTAACATAGGGATGAGAAAAGAGAGGGGGAGGATCACAAGAGCTGTAGGGATCTATGTTGCACGGAAACGGATACGAGGACAAAAACGCGTACGGTGAAGGGATGGGATACGGCAAAATCAAAATTTCCAAAAATGGGTACGGCAAAAAAAAAAATCAGCAAAAATGTAAAAAAATAATAATCCATACAACACAAATTATAGTACCATTTAAAACGAAAAAAGGTTAAAAAAAAGTGACTTCTACACCACTGCCAGCTACAGTGACTTCAAGTTAAAAAAAAAAAAAAATCACATGCTACTGTTTGTAGCATACATAACTAACAATTAATCACATAAATAACCAACAAAACTAAAAAAAAAAAAAAGAAAAGTAAAAAGAAGGTGCAAAGAAAGAGAAAAGAGAGAACTAGAAGCCGAGCAAAGAGAGAAGAAAAAGAAACAGTAACAGGTCGAAGCCTTGCCGGTCGCCGTTGTCGGAGTGGTTGCTGCTCGCTGGTGGCCTCCGGTCACCGAAGAGGATTGAATCAAGTCGCACCTCCAAGGGAATTGCCGTTTGCAATCGTTAGGGTTTTTTGAGAATTGGGGGAAATCAAAAATTAGGTTAGTAATTCACTAATTTGGGGTTTTTTTTAAAAAAAAATGGGCTGAAATTCCTAGGAAACGTCAGAAAATGAGCCAAGCCGTCCCCGATACGTATCCGAGCAAGAGGCTAGCCGTCCCCAAATTGGCTTTCTGTACCACTTTTGAACGGGACGCCTTGGGGACGTTTCCAAGCCATACCCGTCCCCGAAACGTTTCCGGTACGGGAGACGGAAACCATTTGACGAATCCGTGCATCATAGGTAGGGATGACATCTTGGTCCATGTACGAGCCCCATCCATACAATTTAAAACTCAGATATTGGTGTAATTTATATTTTTAACTGTAATGTTTTCTACAATAGACCCAAGCTCATCTAAAAAAATTTGGTTGCATATAAGGTAGTGCAAGTTCATAGAAATCAGTGAAGGGCAAGGTTAAGATAAGAGAGAGAACAAAAAAGAACGAACTAGAATAGAGTGAGTAGAACAAAAAAGAGCAGAGGGAGTAGTTTATAGAAAACCTTACCATTAAAATTTATAAAACATAAAAGAAAAGAGTTTTGGTTAATAAGAGTTCAAAAGTATTATTAATCTCAATGTAATTCCCAAAATCCCCCTAAGAACTGCAAATCAAAAAAAGGTGAATGAATAACATGAAAGTGGAACATTTTTTTTTTTTGGGCCTAAAATAGCAAACAAGGTAGCAAATTGCGAACCCATACCCAATCTCATATTAGTGAATTAGGTTACTAGGTTAGAACGATAATTGGGGCCAAGAGGCAGAAGGTTTCATCCTTGGGTTACTCAATTTGTTGGGACTTTTCTTGGTGCAATTTCCTTTTCAGAAAAAAAGAAATAATCAAAAGAAATTCAAATAAATTTTAAAACTTGAATTCCAAATGATGCGGCTGAAAAATAAACCTAAAGATCATAGAAATATCTATAAAAAGAGTTCACACACCATCAGCATCTCGAGGAGGACGGGAACCACTGGCGATCTTTCCTGACACTTCTGATGGAGGAAATGTCTGAAGATTTGAATCTGATGTCCACCATAAGAATAATAAAAGACAGTAAACAAGTTAGTAATAATTCGGACATCAGATTAAAATTCAAAAAAAGGAGTGCAGGTGAAGAGCTTTACCAGCAAATTTAACCGACACATGACCGGAATCACCAACTGCCTGCAAATAACAAGGGAGAGATTAAATCAGCAACAATCTAAGAAGAAAATGTGACATTGAAGGAATTCGTATTATTACGTCAAAAGTAAAGGAATTGATCATTGGAAAGGGAAAAGAAATTTAACTGGAACAGATCCGGAGACAGATCCTCCTCCGGAGACGTTCTGATTGTCAATGGTAGTGTAATTGCCGGACATCATCTTTGCTATCGTGATATTAGAGCGGAAATTGAGGATAATTTTGCTAGAGCACTCTAGCTATAGCGATCACACGATCTTCAAGAACTCGGGGTTCTCGGTCTCTCACAATCCTCCCAAATCAAGGCTACTGACAACAAGCAACTACTTAAGTAAATACGTGTAGCTCAGCGCTAATCAGAGTAAATTTTACAATCACAACATAGACTACATTCGCCATGATTCCGTTGTCACATTACTAGTTCAAATTACACTATCAAAGTAATAATTAATCAATCCAATATATTTCTTCACTATATGAAGTAATTGCTTGGTTTGAGCATCAATTGATTGACTTGCATCAATTGTTGGAGTAAATAGCGTAAACACAATTAGGTAATTCAAAATTTCAAGAAACAAATCAGCTAAAACACAAACATACATTTCAAAATGTCAACAAACACTGCAATTCCGAAACCCACCTTCTGCAACAGCCATTAATCAAGACCAAAACTTTATTATACTTCATTAACCCAATCACTTCCCATACTTAAAAATCTCAAAAACCTTTCTGTTCTCAACATGTTCTTCAATCAAGCTGCAATCTCCAATTAAATCATATAAACTTACAATAGCTGATATCGAATCTCCCAAACTACATTGCTTAACATGGCATCAAAATCAAACCAACCAAAACATACAATCAATCAACAAAGCTCAACCCGAATCCAATCATACATTATCAAGAACAACAATCCAAAATCACCCTTTAAACAGTCCCTAAATTCAATAAACAAGTCTTAAGCATCACTAAACTTAACACTAATAATCAAAATCCACAAACCATCACAAATCTCAAAATTCCAGACAAATAAAATTGAGTTAATCAATGCAATCAAACCTGAAATTGAGTCATAATAAGGTGAGACCCGAGCTTCTTCCTAGACTCCCCACCAGGCAAACTCCCGGCAGAAAGCGAAAGCGATTTGATAATCGGCAAAAAAATACCCCCAGCTCTAGCCGTAGACCCGAAACCACCCTCCTTCCAGAGCCACCCCCTCCCCCTGCACCACCACCGAAACCGCCCAAAACTTGAATTCCCCAACCCGAAACCACCCTAAACTCCCATCCCTTTCCCCACCCGAAACCCCCACCCCTTTCCCTGACCTGAAACCGCCGTAGACTCGAAACCCCTACCCCTGAAACCATTCCCCCATCCCTCGGAATTTGTGAATTTGTGTTTTTCCTATGAATAAAATAAATAAACTACAATTCACAAATTAGCAACCAAAATTGACTCAATTATCAAACTAGACTCCAAAAATTACGTTAAATTCTTCGAGTATCTATAACCAATATTTCAATTATCCAACTTCGAAGAACCCTAAATTGAGTATATATTGACAATTAAATACACGATTAACACAAGATTGTCAAAATTAATATTAGATGATTAAAGAAAAAGAAGCATCTAACCTTAGAGACTGCTTCAATGGAGGAGAGAAAGCTCAGAAGCCGCTTCAATGGAGAATTTCGAGTACGCTAGGAGTGAGAGAGGAAGGATTACAGCAAGAAATAGATCTAAAGGAGTACAGAGAGAGGAAGGACTACGGCGTGATTCGTGAAATTTTTTTATTTTTTTTTATTTTATAAAATAATAGGTTGTTCTAGGACCCACTATAACTACATGTGGGTCCGTCACTGTCAACAAACACTGCAATTACAACCATACTCTTCGCAATGCGAACGCAAACAAAGAAAAAATTGAACAAATTGGAGAAATACTGATCATAAATTACAAAAAAAAAAAAAAAAAAATTGAAAGAAATAGAGAGAACTTACAAGTTGAAAATTTGGAGGAGAGAGAATTGCCGGAGATTGAGATTGAGATTGACAGAAAGCAGATCCAAAATTACGGTGCCGGAGAAATGGGGAATTGGTGAAGGAGGAGAGAGAAAATAGAGAAATTGATGGAAAAAAGGGTGCGAAATTACCCGAGGTTAAACGTCGGAGAGATTGGTGACGACTGACGAATTGCAATGAGATCTAGTTTAGAACCTAAAACGTGATATGAACTCTAGGATGTAAAAGGCGTAAGGTGGGTAAAGAGTCACATGACTCGGGTGATCTCGTTGATTTGGTAAGAGTCTTACGAGGTACCCTCGTGTTGTCTTATTTTGGGTCGTCTCTAAATGATGGTTTTTTTTAAAAAAAAAAAAATCGACATTAATTTTGATTAATTAAAGTCATGCAACATTTATAATTGATACAATACAAAATTAAACATCTATAATTGATAATTAACAATAAAGAAAATAGTTTATACAAAATTAAACAAGAATTAATCGAAGAAGGGTTAAGAATTCAAATACATAGATATAACAATTCGGCTTGTGGTAACTTTGAGGTTGTCTTTCAAAGGAGGTTCAAAAACTTTGTTTTTCAAAGGAGATCAAAAACTCTTTACAAATTCTTCTCAAATAGAGAAACGATTATTATAACCTATAAAACAAACAAAAAACCAATTTTTTTTTTCTTTTTTTTTTTTTTGAAAGAAACAAATATTGGAACTTTTCACTGGCAAAATCGATGAAAGCCTATTTGAAAATCAACAGTAGAGGCTAGGGTTTAGAATAGAGAAGAAAGGAGAGAGGCTTAGGGTTTAAAATATTTTCAGTATGATTTCATTTTCATTTGAATTAATAGGATGTGTTGTTTTTGCTTGAATTTATGTGAATAGAAATTAAGGAGTATTATATTTGATTAGACATGAATCATATGATCAGTCTTACTTTTATTTGATGTTTACACTTGATTGAACTTAACATGCTTATTTAATCTTGATTAGCCTTGAAAAATAATTTTATATGGTAAAAAAAAAAAAGCACCTTTTTATATGACTAACAATTACTCTTTACCTTGTTTACTAAATCTCTCAAAAAAAAAATACTAATTACTTCCTCCGTTCTTTTTTACTTGACCTGTTTCTTTTATCACGCTTGTTGATGCATAACTTTAACCATCAATAACTTTATTTCTCTATAAGTAAAAATTATAACAGTTATAAATTGTGATAATACTTATTGAGACGATTCTAACAAGATCTCACATGAATATCTTATTCCTTACATATAATTCACAAAATACGGTCAAAGGAGGAGTGGTGGATAGTGTAAAAGTCAAAACGGATCAAGTAAAAAAGAACGGAGGAAATACTTAATAAATAAATAACTACTTTGTACGAAGTATAACTCTTAATAAAGTGAAAAGTTAGATTTGAGACAAGTACTATGAGAAAGGGAATGCACATAAATAAAAATGGACATTGGGTAAAATATAAGACGAATCACAAATTCTTGAAAAAGGTCGGCTTACATTAACTTAGTGTAAAACCGGCCCACTTCTCTCTTCTGGACTGGGTTCACACGTGCCAGTCCAGCGATTATTTTTTTTCCGTTTTGTTTTGTTTTTCATTTTAGCGCATCTTCAATTTATTTCTCTGTTGCTGCTCTGCAATTTCTCTCTCTTCTGTTCATAATTCTATGCAATTTCTCTTCATCTTTCCTTTGTTTTGTTGATTTTCTTTAGTTGACGAATTGAATTTTGGATTCTCATCGGTTTTTTAGGTTAGTTTTAAATTATTTTTGGTTTTAATCGCATAATTTTTGTTCATTAGTTGTTGTAATTGTTGATTTGTTATGGTTTTTCATTTTACATGTGTATTGTTAACATGTAATTCTCTACTTTATTTCAATTTTTAAGTAGAATTCTTTGTTTTTGTTGTAATTTGTTGTATTCGTAAGTATATTAGCTTGATTTTTGGTTTTTTTGTTTTTGATCGTAATTTTGTTCATATTTTATGGTTTCCTAGTTCAATGTGTTCCTATTAGATTGAATGTTTTAGGTGTTACTAGTTTTTTTTTTTCAGTTTTTTGATGCATTTTCATTCAATTTGTTGTTTATGTCAGTATTTGATTAATTAATCGTTCTTATTTTGAATTTTAGGGTTTAATTTCTTGAATTTGCGATGGTGAAGTTTAGAGGTGGTCTTTCGAATTTTCGAAGGAGAAGTGGTTTGCGATGCTATGTCGGTGGATCTGATGATGCTCAAGGTTTTACCAATTTCTCTATTTACAGTTACAATTTCTTGATTTTTGTACATTTGTTAAAGTTACAAAATTAGTTGTTATAGTTATATAAATGTTTGCTTAAGTTATGCTCTATGTTTTATTATATGTCAGATTGATTTATAAAAGTTATGTTTATTATAGTTATAGTTATACTATTTATAGTTGAAGTTATGTTAATCTTAAACTTCAGCATTAATTGTCAGCTTGTTATAGTTATATAAATGTTTGCTTAAATTATGCTTATGTTTCATCATATGTCTGATTGTTTTATAAAAGTTATGTTAATTATAGTTGTAGTTATACTTTTTTTACTTAAAGTTATGATTTACACTTTAATACTATTATTTTCTATAGGTGCTAATGATGTAAGCAATGAAGTTAATGTTGATGTGGAGAAGGGTGGAAAGAAGGGAGGTAGTGTAGAGGAGGCTGCAGTAAAGGAGGTTGCAGTAAAGAAGGGTGTTGTGAAGGAAGTTGCAGTAAAGGAGGGTGCAGTAAGAAGGGCACAGTAAAAGAGGCTTCAGTAAAGAAGGGTGCAGTGAAGGAGGCTGTAGTAAAGAAGGGTGCAGTGATGAAGGATAAAAGTGAGGATGAGGGTTCTGAGCAGGATGGAGGTGATGAGGATGAGGGTTCTAAGAAGGATGGAGGTGATGAGGATGAGGGTTCTAAACAGGATGGAGGTGATGATGAGGAGGGTTCAAAAGAGGGTGGAGGTGATAATGAGGAGGGTTCAGAAGAGGATGGAGGTGATGATGAGGAGAGTTCAGAAGAGGATGGTGGCCGGTGATGATGAGGAGGGTTCAGAAGAGGATGAGGGTGATGGTGAGGAGGGAAGTGAGGATGAGGGTGATGATGAGGAGGGAAGTGAGGAGGATTCTGAACAAGAAGTAAGTGAGGAAGAATCTGTTGAGAGAAATAAGAAAAAAAGAAAATTGAGTGTGAAAGCAAAGAAGCCAGTAAAGGATGATCGGCGTCCAGCTAAGAAATATCCAGCAAAGGATTATCGTCGTCCTGAGAAAAAGCTAGCTAAGGCATCCAATAATGCTCCTGTTGAGAAAAAACCAAAAAAAAATTATCGTCGTCCGGCCGAGAAGAAGCGGAAAATGGTGAAGGACAATATCTGTCCTGCTCAGAAGGAGCCAATAAAAGATGATCGTTGTCCGGCTGAGAAGAAGCGGAGAGTGGTTGACAAGGCTGTCAAAATTGAAAATAGAAACAGACCGGATTCTGATGCTGAAGAAGATGAAATTGTTGCAAGTATATCAGAGAGAGATGATTCTGATTCTGATGTTGAAATGTAAGTACCCTTTTATGAAGTTATTGTTATTATTTCTAAAGTTATGGATTATACTCTTAAAGTTATGGATAATTCCCTTAAAGTTATGGACATTGTGTTAGTAAGATAGATGTGATAATTAACTTATATGCTGATACAATATTTGTGATAAGTTTATGTAAAGTTATGGGTAATGATATTAAAGCTATATATTAGTACTTATTTATAGTTATAATTTTGTGTTTGCTAAAGTTGCATTTATTATTTCTAAAGTTGTATTTATTCTCTTTAAAGTTATAGTTGTTCATTTTATTTTTCCTTTCTTCTTTTTTTTTATTCAGATTGGATAGGTTTTTCAGTATCCATTGCAGACCGTACACATTAGTAGATCTTATGAAAGATTTTTCTGATGAGCAAGTTAAATCTGTTGTTGAAATAGGATTTGGTGGTTTGTTGGATTTAAAGTTGACTAGAACTGTTACAACTTTACTTCCTTGGTTGGTTAATCATTTTGATTATGTTAGTTGGATGTTTTCTATAAGTCCTGGGAAGGAATGTGTTATTTCTCCCTATGATGTTTATGATGTATTTGAGTTACCTTTGAATAATGGGATGAATGTTGTAGAGAGTACTAGAAGTACTGATCTTCAATTGAAACAAGAATGGAGGAGTATGTTTGATGTTGCTGGTAGTGCAGGCATACCTTTGCATAAATTAGAGGCTAGGATTGTTTAGTTAAAGGATGGTGGGGAGTTGTTTAAGAGACTATTTGTGATGGTTGCTTTTGCTACCTTTTTAGCACATGTTGCAAATAGAACTGCTGATTTGAGTTTTGTTAAAGCTCTTGAAAATGTTAATGAAATTAAGAATTTCAATTGGTGTAAATTCATGAAAGGTTGTGTAGGGCTATTTTGAAGTATAAGAAAAGTAAGAGTCAAGACAGTGTTGGTGGTTGTATTTTGTTGTTAGAGGTTGTGTATTTTCAGCGTCTGAAGTTCAGGAATGAGGCACAAGATTGTAGTTTGTCTCTTATCAAATACTGGACTGATAAGAAAATCAGTGATAGGGTGAAAAAAGAAGTTGAGGCTAAGTTCTTTGGTTGTGGTATTTTGGATACTATTACATACCCTATATCTCAGAATTTTGTGTTCGGAGATAGCTGCCTCTTTGAATTGCACCTGGAGAAGCTAAGCAAACTGCAGTTTCTCAAGTTGATAATGCTGATGATGCATCATTAGGAAAAAGGATCATTAATTTTGGTGTTCTTAATAGTATGACATCTGATGAAGAAATTCACTCTGTTGCTACTGATGTAAGTTAAAAGTTGCATTTATTAATGCTAAAGTTATACTTTTTATGTTAAAAGTTATACTTATTGTAGCTAAAGTTATCTTTCTAATTATTCACTTATTATTTTTC